CAGCTTCGTAGTCTTCACCACCAGCGCGCTACTCGCGCCAGCGTTCTTACTCACGGCAGCGCGCAACGAGCACTTCGTCGCCAGGACCGCGTACAGCGTGCCCGCTACGCACTTGTACAGCGCCGACATTCTCGAGAGCGCGAGTTTCGCGAGCGCAAACTTTCTGCAGCCGCCTGGCCCAACAGCAGTCGAATTAAAAATTGCCTATTTCGCCCCGGCCGCCACTGCACGAGCAGCAGTTACAGCTACGCACAGAACATGGGCGGCGCTTCGCCCAAAAGCCGCTGCTCCCACGCACCGCACTTATGCACCGCGATTGTTCGCAGAGCGTTAGCGTAGTCCGCTGCGTTTTTGCCGAGATCTGCGCCTTTCTCTTTGTCGAGGACGTCTTCCGACTCTCCGCAACTTGCAGCGCGCTACGGCGCACCGCGACCGGCGCCCGAGGCGCAAAGCTTTGGCATGCGCTCGCGCGCCGACACCCTGCGTTGAACACGCAAGTCACTTCGCAACGCGAGTTCTCTCGCTACAATCCGCTCGCGCTGACCGTCGTATTCCAGTGCCGCGCCACTGGCGTCTACTGTCGGTCGAGCGTCTGCTCGTACAAAGACCTTCGCCGCGCAACCGAGTCGCTCCTCGCACGCCGGTCCACAGCTGAGCTGTTCGGCTACGCATTCGACTTGTACCTCGAGAAAGATCTCAACGGCGTGCGTGTCGCCAGCCTGCCGCTTTACGACCTGCTTCGCCTGCGCTCCGCTGTGGGCGCGCCGATTTTCTTCCGCTCACTCGGCGCAACGACGTCTGCAGGCTGCGGCGAACCACTCGTTTCAGCGCCCGCGTACGCGCTGGCCGCGCCGCGCGGCGCCCATGTGAAGTTCGTGTTCACCGGCCGGTTCCACTACCAAATCAGCAGCCCGGCGCCTTTCACCGCTGATCTTCCGCTCTGCAGCTTGGAGATTGCCTCTGCGAAGCCCTTGCGCATTTTCGACCTAACGACCGCGCCGGCCGCGCCTGCAGCGATATCTATTCCGAATTTACATTAAATTTGCACCGTCTGCTTATACACTCCGCGTTCCCGCTGCCAATGGACGCCAAGACAATCGAACTGCTACACGCGCGTTGCGCTCAAAAACGCTATTACGAGGCAGCTCAGCTCATTAGAACCGCGCTCGCCCGCGCGACCAAAACCGGAACGGTCGCCGAAGCGCTCGAGCTCGCAAAGCAGACCGCGCAACGCTTTGTCGACGCCGACGAGCACGACCTTGCGATCGACGTTGCGGACGCCGTGTTCGCGCTGCTGCGCAGCGCACAGCTCGAGACCCTCGCGCTCTCTGTCGAGAACTTGGTCATCATCTTCCGCGCGGCGAGCCGCGCAGGCGCAGCTCGCTTCCGCTTTGCCAACGAGTTGCTTCGCTGGCTCGCCACCTGCTCCCACATTTCGCCGGAAGAAAAAGCGTTTTTGACTGCTGATCTGCGCGAAGCGCTCGTGGGCGCGTATTGCGACGCGCAGCAGTACGGGCACGCTTTGAAGCATCTCGCACTGCTGAACCAGCCCGCTGTGCTACCTACTGTGCTCGACCGGCTACTGAGCGCATGTTACGCGACCGAAGCGCCGATCTGCCTGCTCAAAGTGGTGCTAATCTTCGTAGCAGCGCGCAATGAGCAACTTGTCGACGAGTCGTTCAAATACATCGAAGCGCACAGCGCGCTCTCGTACGAGTCGCCCTTTCTACAGCTCGCCTACGTCGCCGCGGGTGCCGTGCGCGCGAAGGACCGCGCGACGTTTGAAGCAGTGCAGCGGAAGTATGGCATTGCGCTCCGCGCTGACCCGGACTTCAAGCGACTCTTCGCATACATCGGGCAGGAAGTGTTCGGCATTGTCGAACAAACGCCCGGTCTCGACGCGCTCATGAAGAACATCATGACCAAAATGCCAGACTTTCCCTTTTTCCAGTGACGCAGCGCAGGCGCACTCGCGACAGCGCCGCGGTCGACGCGCAGCTGAGTGGCTCGTGTTAAATTTTTTCGATCGCGTTATAACACATAACATCCGTTATGATTGCATCTCGGTTGTGGGCAGGCACCGCCTTGCTCGCTCTGGCGTTCAAAGACAAAAACGGCAACACCGGCCACATCATCCACGAAGCCACCAAAAACGAAATATGGAACGACTACCCGGCCTACGCGCTTGCGAGCAAGCCAGCGGGGCCGACGCCGCAGATCACAATCAACACTGCGAAACACCCGAATGGCTCGCACAGTGGCTCGAACGGCGGCTCACACGGCGGTGCCACTCACGGCGGAAAGCAGGGCAAGCGCAAAGGCACCACCATCGTGCTTCCCTCTTCAGATCCGGTGTTCGACATCGTCGTAAACCCTGAGTACGTGCCGGACCCGTTCCCCGCGCCGTACCCGTACCCTTTTGAAAGCGAAGAGTATGGCGCAGGCGGCGAGAACGGCGACGGTGGCAAGAAGGCGCCGCCGCGCGAGCCGAAGCGCAAGGTCAAAGAGTTTTTGGAGCGCGCTCCCTCATTTCTAGAGTGCCCAAACGGTCACTACCTAAGCAAAAACAAATGCGTGCAGAAAATAAACGTTCCGGCAGAGATCGGCTGCGCAGAGGGCTGGTCTCTCGAGAACGGCTACTGCCTCGGCCACGAGGTCACTAACGTCGTCTTCCGCTGCCCAGACGACTACGTGCAAGACCCGAAAAACTCCCAGGCCTGTTTCAAAGAGGAGGTCGCGCCGAAACAAATGGTGTGCCCGGCGGGCAGCGCGCCAAGCATCAACGGCTGCTACCACGAGTTTGCAAGCGAACCGTCGGTCGTTTGCGAGACCGGCGTTTTGGAGTTCGGGCGCTGCTTCCAGCAAATCAACGCGCCCGTGCTCGCCGAGTGCCCGGCCGGGTTCGTGCTGACCGAAGCTGGCGACTTCTGCTTAAAAGAGAACATCGCGACGGCGACCGCTTCGTGTCAGGAGAACCACTTTTACGACGCGAACCACCAGAGCTGCGAAGGCAACGAGCTCGCTGCGCCCGTAGCCGAGTGTCCGCAAGGCTTTAACATGATGGAAGGAAGCTGCGCGAAAGTTTTGGCCGAGCCGCCGACGCGCCTCTGCCCGCAAGGCTCGAGTCTTCACGACACGGTGTGTCGGCGCGTCATCATCGCGGGCGAGCCGACGCTGGCGTGTCCGCATGGCAGCACGCTGAACCGCGAAACGCACACGTGCAGCAGCAGCGCTGTGGCGAAGAAGCACAACAAGCACGGCTCGCACTTGAACACGTTGCCGATCTCGCCAGTCCGCAAATGCGTCGACGGCTCGTTCCTGCAGGGCGATCACTGCGTGCAGAACGACACAGTGGTGCCGCTGCTCGAGTGCAAGCCTGGTTACTCGCTGCACAATGCGCTTTGTGAGCGCCGTGAGCTGGTGCCGTTGACGCTGAACTGTCCGCCGAACTACGAAAAGACGCTCGACAATCGGTGCGTGCGCACAGTGCGGAGCGCGGCGCAGCACCTATGCCCAGACGGTTTTGCGTTGGGCAGCGGCAACCTCTGTAAAAAGGTTGAGAAGCTCACGGCGCAGAAGTCGTGCCCAGCGGGCGCAGCAATGCTGCGTGAGTCGGTCGGCGGCCGTATGGTTTGTCAGCTGAACGACTACACGGAGCCGGCAAAGCGCTGTCCGTTGGTGGGCACGAGTCTGACGTCTACGGAGAACGGCGAAAAATGCATGGGGAGCAAAGTCGAAGAGCCGCTGTTCAAATGTCCGACGGGCTTCGTTGAGAAAAACGAGCAGTGCTTGAAGCTGAAGTTTGAGTCGGTGATCCCGACGTGTTTCGCGGACTTCAATTTGGCGTTTAACAAGTGCATCAAAGAACTGAAAGAGCCGATTTTGCTGCTGTGTCCGGAAACATTCACGTTAAACAAAGAGAGCTGCACGAAAGAGACTGTGCTCGACCCGATCAACCAGTGCCCAGACAAGATGAAGTTCGACCCTCTGGTGGGCGAGTGTTACGCGATGGTGCCATTCTACGACTTCGACGAGCCGACGGAGGCGCCGCCGCCGCCAAAGGAAGCGATGGAGGACTTGCAACCGCAGATGCCGCCGGAGATGAGCGCTCCGCCGCCGCCAGCGGGCTATCCGCCAGAACTGCGAACGCCAGAGCCAGTTAAGCTGCCGCCGCCGCAGCTGACGATCATTCAGCAGCCGGTGGTGGTGCCACAGCCAGCGGTTATTTTGCCGCAGCAGGCGCCGGTGCCGCCGCCGCCGACTATCCGCGTGCCGTACGCGGTGCCGCAGCCGGTGCCGACTCCGGTGAAGCCGGCGAAAGTGATTAAAGAAACGACAAAGGTCGAGACGCTAATAGAAAAACGGCACAGCCACGGCGCGCGTTAGCGCCGCTCGGCGCTTAAGAGCCGGGCCGCGCGCGGACCTCACTGAGTAAGCTCGTGGATCGCGACGCCAAAGCTAGGCTCGACTTCAGGGATGGTGAAATTCGAGCAGGACTTGCAGATGTAGACCATCGCCATGATCTCGGGCGAGACCTTCTCAGGCAACATGAAGTAAACGGCGCCGGTTTTGTGACATTTCGCGCAGACGAAGTCTGGCTTAAACGGGAGCGTGGGGTCGCTGATGTACTCTTTGGAGATGTACTGCTTGAGGTCTTCCCTGCCGTGGAGCGCGCGTTGACTTACTTGGCGTTGTGGTGGAAGTGGGCAGTTTGCACGACGTGCTCGCGGTAATCCGCGCTGCTGACCAGAACAACCTCGTTGCACTTGCGGCAGACGCGTTGTAGAATTTTTCGTTCCTCGCACTCCACAATGTTTAAGAAGTTGTTGCTGCGTGCGGACGCTGCGTACTTACCACTTGTCACAAAACTTGAGCATTGCGCTAGCTCCTGCGATATTAAATTTATTTTTGAGAGTGGGCGCGGCGGTGGCGCAGTAGCGCCGCACTAAAGCAGAAACGGGATGAGGCAGCGGCGGTTTCTGCATAACGGCGCGCTAGACTTACTTGGGGTAATGCGGAAACTCTGCGAGGTAGAGTTTGTGTTTGCGCTTCGCCCAGACGTGCATTTGCACGGCGGAGACGAGCACAAAGACGAGGGCGGGGAGTGAGCCGACGAGCGCTGCATAAGTGGCCCAAGCGCAAATCTCCCAAAAGTAATTGGCGCAGCTGACTAAGTCGAAGCCGGCGCCGCTGGGGATGCCTTTTTGCGAGGAGCAGCGCGTGCGTAGGTTGCGCAGGATCAAGTGCGTCTTGGCGTTCATAAATTCGCAGAATAGGAAGACGAGCGCGAGCGCGTCGACGACGCTGCGGTTGTGCCGCCAGGGCGAGACGTACTGCGGGTGGAAAAGGAAGTAGCCGACAAAGCCCGCGCAAATGACCCAGTAGTGGAAGCAGTTGATCGGCAGCCGGATGATTGGCATCGAGGTTTTGCTGAAGCGGTGCACGAAGAGTGATTCGACTTCTCGCTTAAAGAAGTGCAGCATGAGGAGCCAGAAGGCGACCAGGCGTGCGTGGTCGAGCTTCGTCGCGCCGTGCAACAGTTGCATGGCAGGGAAGATGAACAGCGGCCCGAGGTACTCGAGTACGAAAACGAGCCGCCAACTGATTTGGAGGCCCAGATCTTTGAAGACGAGTACTTGCGGATCATCCTCGAACTGCGGCGCGAGCGGCCCCGGCTTGATCACTTTGCGAGCGGGCGTGGTCCAGCGTTGGCGATCAGAATTGAAGCGGTCTGCGTGAAGCTGGCGTGAACATACGTTTTTCGTAAAACTTCTCGGTGAGATTCTTATACATCGCGTTTTCGGGGAACTCAAACGAGTCGAGCACGCGCCCCTGTTGCGTTTTGCAGATGATCTTCATATTGAATTAAAATTAAATAGCAGTACTTTTCAAATTACGAAAAGGCTAAATCAGTGCATGGTTTCTGCAAGCCGCTGCAGCTGTTGCAATCGTGTGCGCAGCTCGGGCGGCGCGCCTAGTTCCATCGCATTCTGCGCATAGTCGTTAATAAATTCACACAGCTTCGCAGCGAACGCAGGCTTTTCCAGGTTTTCTTCGCGGAAAAAGCGTACGCACTGATAAAACGCTTCGAGCTCGTCGACGTGCGTGGGGCGTTGCCATACCTTCTGTGTCCAGATGTCGTAAATGCGCGATCCGTAAGGCACGACGGCGGAGCGCTGCGAAGCGATCAAAAAGCCGAGCGAAACGAGCGCGTTTCGTAAGATGCGGCTGTCGGGAGAGGCGGTGAACGCGAGCGTCACCAGTTTATCGACAAAGACGGGAGCGTGAACCCGGATGCACTCGCGTGGAGCGCGGGGAATGAGTTGGCAGAGGGCCCAGGAGGCATTGACAGCAAGGTTCGCGGTGGAAATGGAAAGAAGCTCGGGCAGCGCCTCAGCAAACAGCAGGACGGCGTCGCCGAGCAGCGAGATTTGCACGAGAGCGGCATCGCCTACCAACAGCACCGCCGAGGAGAGCAGCCTCGCGTACATTCGCGGGTTGACGGAAGCAAAGCAAGCTTTCAGAAAGTCAGCGACGCGCGCAACCTGCGCAAGCAGCGCGGGTTCGTTTCGTAGCGCGTACAGCAGGTTGCTGACTGCGTCAAACGCGCACTCGATCGTTTCCGTATTGTGCGTCTCGTACTTTTGCGTCGACCTCGCGGTGGCCTCTGCCTGCAACAACTCCGCGAACTGCGCGCTCAGCACCTCAAAGAGCCGGGAAGCGAACGCAGTGACGAATGCGGGAAACGGTGGTTGTGCGGCTTCAAGGAAGCAGCTGCAGCACTCGATGAGACCGGCACACACCGGATCGAGCGTGTCGACAAGTGCGAAGCGCTGGACGAGTAGCGTGAAAAACTTTTCGCACCGCGGGTGTTGTGCGGGCGCAGTCAACTCGGCGCCGAGCACTCCGAACACGGTCGCGACGCAGTCCGCAAAGACGGCGAAAGAGCGGTCCCGGTAGTGCGGAACGCACAGCGCGAAGCAGGAGAGGATCTGATCCGCGTGCACGGCAAGCTGCGGCGCCAGTGCCTGCGTGCAGCTACTCAGACAAGAGCAGGCGGACTCCTGCACGCTCGACTTTGGATCTACCAGGCGCTGCAGCACCGCAGTGAGTGCGCTGTGCACCAGCTGCTCGGAGGCCGCGTCTGCGAGCCAGTTGACGAAACGCGAAATGCACCAACACGCGATGCTGCGCACGCGCGAGTGGCTGTGTGCGGTGAAGTCTACGAGCAGGGTGACGAGCGTTTCGGCGTAATTGGAAAGCTGCGTGTTGACACCGTTGTTGATCGCGCCGAGAGCGAGAATCGCACTCTCCTGCTCTATCCAACCTTTACGATCCGCAAGACGCGGCTCGATCAGCGGGACGGCAATTTGCAAGATACTTTCGGGGAACTGCGAACTGAGCATGTCTAGTGCAAGACCTGCGGCCTTGCGCACAGTCCAGTCGTTGCCCCAAGTAGACGCCGAATCGCGCTGCTCGCGCTCTTCGCCAACAGCTTCGATTCGCGAGAACGTACACTGCTGCAGATCTGTCTCATCGCTCTCGCCGTTTTCGTCGAGACCGAGGCTCACGAAATCTTCCTCGGTGTACACCAGGTTCTCAATGACGAGCTCGACGAGCGTCTTCAGGAAGGGCTGCAAACTCTCTTTGAATGCCATACCGTGGAGGATCGTGTGCCAAAAGCCGAGCACGCACAGCTTGGTTTGCTGTTCGCCGACTCGCAGCGAGGCCAACATGTAGTCGAAGATCGCACCGCAGTACTTTTGCACGAGAAAGGCATTCTGGTCGGCGATCGAGCGAAAAGCGCAGACGATTTCGTAGCGAATGGTTTGGTGTTGAGAGGTGGTGAAGGTCACGATTGTCTTCCAATAGTTGCCAAAGAGCGGCGCAGCAAACTCGTTCTTTTCGAACGCGTTGTAGGAGTTGAATAGTCCGAGCACCTTGAGTATTTCGCAGCTCAGCTCTGGGTGCTCGACCCACTTCTCAACGGCTCGGAAGAGACAAGGCAGTAGCCGCTCCACCGCGAATTGGCAGAAAGAGTCGTCTTGCGGCAAGCTCTCTTCGCCCTCTTCGTCCTCGTGCAAGTAGCAGTTGAGCTTGTCTTCGCAGACGTTGTAGAAGCAGTTTAGCACGGTGGACACGACATTGGTGTCGGCGGTCTCTTCCAGCAAGTCGCAGAACCGCACGAGCAACGGCAGCAGTTTTACGAATTCCACGTGCAGCGCGGTTTCCGCAAGCAAGTTCGCCGCGTGCGAGCGAAGCGACTCATCACGCCACGGCAAAATCGTCAGCAGCCCGTCAAGCATCAGCGCAAGCAACGAGTCGGAGACGCCTAAGTGCAGCGCATTTTTCAGCGAGATCGCCGCGAGCGAGCGCACCAGCGATGTAGACGGGTCCGCGTTGAAGAAGATGTAGAGCAAGCAGTGTCTGCCCTCGTCCGAAGCCTTGATGGTCTCGAGACTCTGCAAGAGCTGCGAATCTGACGCACTACGATAGCTGCCCTGCAAAACATCGACCGCAAACTGCAACCGCTCAGGGTCCGGTTGCCATTGCATGGAAGACGAAAGGTGAAATTAATTTAATCCTAATTCTGATTTTGATCAGCAGTTCGTCAGCGATCGGCGCTGTGCGCGGCCGCGAACGGCGACCTCAAAGCTTGTTTGGCGCACCCACCCTCTCGGTTGAGGTGTAGTGCGCGGAACCGTAGCAATGCAGAAAATAACAGATGTGCAGCGTCTCCGCGTGCTCGTCGCCGTAGTGCAGCACGCCATCCGCGGTGTACACCGTCACGGCCACCCGAAAACGGTCGCAGAAGGCGGAGATCTCGAGTTCGCCCGCGTCGCTATGCTGCTGCAGCAGCTCTTTGACGTACGCGTCGAAGTCCGAGTCGAGGAACAGCGCGAAGTAGTCGCGCCGCTGCAGCAGGTGCGCGCCGACCTGCGCGCGCAGCTCTTTCGCGCTCAGAGAGACGCCAACCTGTTTTTGCAGTTGGTGCGCGAGCGCATGGAAAAGGCAGCTGCCGTCCGCAGCGACGTTGCGCACCTTACGCCCCTCCGGCAGTCGCGCGCTGACGGCCTCGAACTCGCTCTCGGAGAGGTCGTTTTTGCGCGCAGAAGCGAGCAGCTTCGCGTGTAGCTGCGATTCGCGAGCCGCCTTCGCCGTTTCGCTCTTGCTGCGCGCCGCCGGCTTCACGTTTACGAAGTTGAACTGCTCGCGCGCACTTCCAGACCCCATGCACGGAAAACTGCTATTATTAAAATGGGAAAACGCTAGCGCTGCGGCGCGTACATGCCCTTCGTCGCCGGCAGCCGCAGCAGTTTCGCGACCACGCTCGCCTCGGAGTTAAACACCAGAGCGACGGCTTTCACCTGCCGCGTGGTTTTGCTGTTTATCACCTCGCGGTTGTAGTCGAGTTGCAGCTCCGGACAGTTTGCGCAGCCTTCGGTGTAGAAGACGGACTCGGGCCGCACGAGTCCGCACTGCAGACAGGCGCGGTAGCGCCGGTTGACGCGCTCGCCGAGGGCAGCTCTGCGTGGTGGCGACGATGACTCACTTAGACATCCTCGCGGCTTCTCACGAAATAAATCTTATGAAATTGCAAAATGCCTAAAGCACTCGATGCGGCTTGCCCATCGTGGACTTCAGCACAATGCCCGCGATGTTGTTCCAATTCTTCTTGAGAATCGACGCCAAGAAGTTGATAGACGTCAAAAAGTTTTCCTTGAGCTCTTCCTCAGTCATCTTTGCGTTGCCGATGGCAACTCCCAAACATAGAGTCTTCTTCAGCTGAAACTTGGCAGTGCACATGAGGTCTTCGACCTTGTCCGCCAGCTTCTCGTTCGGCGCAATCACCGTGGGGAACTTGCCCGCGCGGTTCAGCCCCGGTCCGAAGTAGCGGGGAATCAGCGTGATGATCGAGGCGGGCGCGAGGAAGTTGTTGAATTTCTGCGCGGTCTTCTTGACGCGCTTCGCGTCCTTGTTGTAGCTCTCGATCTCCTTGCGGTTCATCGAGGCGATGCCCAGCCGCGCAGACTCTTCGCACAGCGCGTCGTCGCCGAGCACGCAGATCTTGCGCGAGGGCTTGATCACGTGCTTCAGCCGGACGCTCGAGTTGAAGCGTTTGTCGCGCAGCACGTCGATGTCTTTCAGCGAAATCTGCATTTCGATCGTCTCCAGGAAATTGCGCGGCTTCTGCGGCGACAACACCTTGTGCACAGCTTCGTCGATCGCTTCCTTGGTGATGCGGTGACTCATGTTGGTGGACGACTTAACTAAAGAATTAAAATTAAAAATGCCGTTTTGTAGCGGCGGCTCTCCGCGCCTTTCGCGGCGCGCCTAGGGCGGCGCGTAGTTCTCGCCGCCGAACGCACACGCTTTGCGGTGAATGTAGCGCATGGCGCCGAGCACGGCGTCAGTTTTCACGCATTTCGCCTTCACCGGCGCGATGCTCGGGCTGAACTTCTCGCCGCAGTTCGGCTTGAAGACCATCGGCTCGCGCGGCTTGCGCCGCGCGTCCGGGTGCGCTCGGTACTCGCAGTCAACGTTTTTGTAGTCGGGCGACCGCTCCTTGCACATTCCATACGCGCAGTTCGGCTTGTAGTAGCTCGCGCCGCTCTTGTCGAAGCAGCGCTGCGTGCGCGCGGACTCCGGCGCGGCGTCAAAATGCAACCGCGGCTCGCCGGCCTTCCCACTGCCGCGCGGCTCCTTGAGCGCTTCGTTCTCGTGCGCCTCCTTTGCGTAGACCTTCTCCGGCTCCGCCGCCCGCACTGTCGGCGTCTCGCTGAGCGAGCGCGTCTCGCGCTTTTCAAGCACCAGGTTCAGCAACGACTGCTCGCTAATGTAGCAGTAGCCGGACTCGATCGCAAATCTGTTGCTGCGCGGCGCGGCGCCGCCCCCGCTGTCGAGCGTGGCGCACACTTCTGCAAACCGCTCGTGCACGGCATCCACCTTTTGCGTCAGCGCGTCTAGCTGCGCCTCGAGCCTCTCAAATCCCTTTAGAATCCGCGCAAAGTCGCGCTCCTCGCGGTGCGCGGACACCGAGCAGACCTGTCCGATTGCAGACACCGTCTTGCTGAGCTCGCGCATGTCCGCGTTCAGCGAGCCGAGCTTGCTCGCGTTGTGCAGCACCAGTTCGCGGACTTCGCGGCAGCTGCCCTGCGACGCGCTCGAGTATGCGTCGCGGCTGCAGCCGCAGCCGTCCGTGGGCTCGCCCGGGCCGGGTGACGCCGCGGCCGCGCGCGGCGCGACGACGTGCGCGCTCTCCGTTTTGCAAAGAGACGCTTCCGGATCACTGCACTCACTGCAGGCGCTGGAGGCCAAAGCCTTGTACTCGCTCTGACTCTGCGCTCCGCGCATCAGCTTGTGCATCAGGTCCGTCCGCAGCTCCGACCGCGCGCTCGCAGCGCCGACCGCCGACCCTCGCCGCGCGCCCTCGTTTGCGCGCGCCGTCCCGCTCTCGACGAAGCCCGCTGCGCTCAGCTGCGGCCGGAACGCGGCTTCGCGCCGCGGCGCGGCGCCGCTTGCGTAGTGTTCCGACAGACTGCCGCCGCCGCGGAACTCGCGCTCTTCCGGCTCGACGCTGTGGCGCGGCGGCTTGCGCGCGCTGACCGCCTTTTGCGCGCGCGCGGACGCCTGCGACGACTCCCGCGCCTTCCGCGCCGGGTCAGACTCCGCGTCCGCGTCGCGCCCGAAGCGAAACGCGTCGCCCAGCGGCTCCGGTTTCGGCTGCGAAGTCGCCGTCGAGGAAGGCGAGGGCGAGGCGTTCGCCGAAGAGCCCCAGTGCGCGTTGTCGATTTTCAAGTTCCAGGTTTCGGACTTGAACTTTTCCTTCCCATGATCTATCTTGGACATCGCAAATATTAGATCAGAGAAAAGGTCTTTATTATGAAATAAGCGATTTTGTCAGGATGCAGAAAAACGGCAAATCGCCCGCGCCCGAGCATGGCTGCTGAGCTCGCCGCTCCAGCGTCGCCGGACCGCGCGGCGCGCGATTTGCGCGAGTTGCTGCGGCAGCTGGTTTTGTCGCTGAAGCGCCGGCAGCCGTTCGCGCTGCAAACCACTGCCGGCGCGCAGCAACTGTTCCTCGTCGCGAACCCGCCGACGCCGCGGCTCGCCGCGTTCCACGCGCACGAGCTGACCGGCGCAGTGCTCGCGCTCGGACACTGCGCGCCGCCGGACTTGGCGCAGCGGCTTGCGCAGCATCCAGAGCTCGCGCCGCACCTGCTGCGCCCCGACGCTCCGCTGCAGTGGCGGCGGCTCGAAAACACGCTCGAACGCTTTTTCGCGGCGCAGTGCCCGCGTCGCGCGTTGCGCGCCGCATTTCACTTCGAACCGCAGGCGGCGCTGCTCGACTTTCGCCGCGAAGGCCGCTTTCTGCAGCTGCATCGGCTGCCGCTCTTCGCACAGCTGCTGCGCGCAGCCGCCGCGCGGCCGGCGGACTTCGTCAGCTGCGTGCTGGGCGCCCGCGCGCGCGTGCACTTGAAGACGTGCGGGGCCGGCTTTGTTTGCGTAAGTGTTGGCGCACGCTCCGCAGGTGTGGGAGAGTCACAGCAGCTGCGCGAAGGCGCACTTCTACCGCGCGCTCGCGCTGCAGAAGCTCGCCGCCGCGACGGCGATGGAGCACGAGCAGTTGCAGCTGGAATGCTGCGTCTCGGCGCCAGACGTCTGCTTTCTCGCCGGCGCGGCGGACGACACGCTCGCGCACTGGCTGCAAATCGACTGTCCTGCGGACTTAATTAGTATCGTGCTTTATAAAATAATTAGTCTGCAAGAAGTCTTGCAACAGTTCTACTGCGATTTGGTCTTCGACCTGAACCGGCTAGCTTTCCGCTTTGTCGAAAACTTCTTGCAGCGCGGCTACCTGACTTCTCGCGCCGCATGAACGAGACGCTCGCCAGCGAGGTCGATGTGCTCGGTCAAATCTACGACGAACTGCGCTTCGCCGCCGGGGCAGACGACTTCTGCGTCAAGCTCGCTGCGGACGGCGCTGGCAGCGGAGCGGGCGCGTTGCGTGCAAGCTTTGCGTTCGCGGCGGAGGCGGACTACCCCGTTTCCGCACTCCGCGTGTCGTGCACAGACGCAGGCAACTGCTCGCCGCAGCAGGTGCGCCATCTGCTCGAGGTCGCGCGAGCCGCGGCGGCCGCGAGCGTGGGTCTCGAGAGTCTCTTTGTGGTGGTCTCTGACCTGCGCGAAGCGCTGAACTCGCTCGCCGCCGCGGCCGCAGAGCCCCGCAACGCCGCGCGCGCGACCGCCGCAGCCGCGCTCGAACCCGCCGAACCGCCACAGCGGTCCGCGCCGAGCTACGCGACGTTCACGCCTGAAGAGCAGCGAGTCAGCGAATCCGAGTTTCTCGCGTGGGCCGAAGAATTTAAGGCCGATCAAATTGCCGCCGGTGTGTGGTCCGAATTTTCGAGAACCGCCTCGCACGTCACCGGCAAAATGTGGTTCCTGCAACGCGCAGCCGGCGGCGCCAACGCTTAGCGCAGAACGCCTTGGATTCCGTGTCCCAGTTCGCAGGCGCGTCCGCGCCGCCGACACGCAGCGAGCCGCGCGCTAAACACGCGCAAGTCTTCGCAGTCACGCGGCGCCAGTCGGCACGGGCGGTGCCCAGCGCAACGCTGCTCGCGCTCGTTTTCTGTTTCGTGGCGACGCGGTTCGCTGCCGCGCAACTCTCTCGCGAAGCGTTGCGCGGCATGCGCTTCTTTGTTGATTACGCTCCGCACGGTTGTCTGGCGCCGCTCATCGCCGCTCCGGCTGCTCTTCGCGCCATCTCACTGCTCCCGCGCAAGCGCGGTTCTGCTGCGCCGCGCTCTCGTGGCTGGGGCGCGCACCGCGAAGCGACGCAGCGCTTGCCGCTTTGGCGGCGATATCGGTCGCAAGCGCGCAGCGCAGCTTCTAGCTCGGGGGTAGAGAGCGGGGTGTTTGGTCAGGCTGCTCGACGCCGCTTTTTGTCAGAAACAGAGAATGGAGCCGCTATGGACGCTTTGCGCTCGCCAGCTGACGAGTGGGCCGCGAGTCAATCGGTGCTAGCGCAGTTGCGGGAGTACATGGAAGACGTGGAGGGCGACGCGGAGGGCGACGCGGAGGGCGACGCGGAGACGCTGCAACGCGTTCGCATAACGCTGCCGGCTGTGCCTCACTGCCCGCACAGCGTTTACTACGAGAAGGCGTTCTACGACCCCGTCTCGAAAATGTGCGTCGCCATAGACTCATCTTCGCCTCCGTTCGCGGCGGGAACTGCGGCCGAGTCTGCAG